CATTTAGTCACAATGACATTTAGTACATACACTCATTTACAGATCTTCGGGGAAAACTGCACATTGGTGAAGAAAACTTAAAAATCTGAAACCGGAATCTAGAAGCACTGGCAAGAATAGAGGAGAGGTGTCATTTCTAGGCATGGAGAAACTATAGAGGAATTCTCTCCTGAGTGTTAACTGAGTTGGTTCTTCTCTCTTCTTCACTCCCCCCTTTTTACTCTACGTCCCATGGAAGCCAGGAGGAAGTTGGGTGGGTACACCTGAAATGGGGCTGAGAGTTATGGGTTCCAATACTAGTAACTGTGAGTAGCTACAGAAGACCATGTACATGCATACAGTGTGTACATGTGTATAGTTTTAGGACAGAGAGTACACGTGACCTCAAGTAACTGAGCAAAGAGGTTTTAAGAGCTTAGGAACATCAACAACTTGGTATACTAGAAGCCAGCAGAAGTGACATGTGACCACAAGAAAGACTGGTTGAAGATTAGAGCACTTCTTGCTAATTTCCAGAAAAAACTAGAGAACATGGTGAAGGGTGGGGATGTGTGGAATTCAGCAACCTGTGTAAACTTAGGGTTTACTACTTTGTGTTAACTGCCAACAATATTATTACAATAATAACGAAAACTAATGATCTGCTTGTGTGATATGTGTATGTATGTGTACTTGCCAAGCACTTCACCTGACAAAGTAAAATCAGTATCATTTCAGTGATCCCAGAAAGTATTTTTGGAAAGCTTAAAAGATGTTAATAATTTGGAAGGCTACTTGGGCAAATCAATCCCCAAATATTTCAAATGATAAAGCTAAATTCAGAAGCGAATAAAATATACAAGACAGCATTTCCAAAAATATTAAGTTATATGATAGATATAGGCAAGGTCTACTTATTGACTAGCTCTTAAATCAACTCTTTTGTGTTTAAAAAGGGTCACTCATAATCTAAGCCTTCCTCTGGCTAGATTATAATTACCCCTAGTTTGATTATTACTTTGAATGATGTTTTTATCTAGCCAAAAAATCAGGCACCAGGGAGGCTTATGTATTCATTCATTTGCAATCCTGACATTTAATAGCACTTGGTATCATGAAAATTAGGATCACACTTGCATTACAGTTTAAAAGGTAGGAATCCATAGAACATGGCCATAGCTTTTAGGGGGAAAAATCCATTTTTGAACCATTATTGCTTTATGGCACTATTTGACAAAAGAAAATGTATTTCTCTTTCTCCAATTTACTTTATTTCCCCAGTTACTATCAAGTCTGACATGGGTTCAAATTCCTGTTCTTCTATACTTACTGATCCTGGAGATGTTCAACCTTTCTGAGTTTTAGTTTTGTTAACTATTGGTGGAATGGAAATGTTAACCAACTTTACAAGATTGCTGTATGAATTGAATCACGTAACATAAGAAGGCTTAGTCATATCACTGTCTCTGAAATAAAATTCCATAACACCAATTTTTATCACTCTGGATAGAAGAAAACTTCTATGTGTAGAAAATAATTTTTTTATAAAGTCAGACCTTTCCTCTGAAATGTGTTATTAATATTTCAGACTAAATCATTTGGGCTCCACAACATGGCATTAAGTTCTAGTAAATCCTAGGGAAAGTAAGTAATAATTATTATTATTTTGGCTACATTCATTCATTTACTTATGGAGATTTTTATTTATTTGAAAGAGAGAGAGTGAGTGAGAGAGAGAGCATGAGCAAGGGGAGGGGGAGAAGCAGACGCCCTTGCTGCAACCTGATGTAGGGCTTGATCCCAGGACCCTGGGATTATGACCTGAACTGAAGGCAGTCACTTAACCGACAGAGCCACTCAGGTGCCCTTGGCTACATATATTTAGACATACAAATGAAACCTTCTGGGCAAAAGCAGGTCATTCAGGTCATTCAGAATTTTTAGATCATCTTAAATTTGAAGTTGAAAAAGCACTGAAGTCCATTATTGTAACCCCACACATTTTACAAAAGAAAAGTTAGTCCCAAAGAACTTAAATGGATTTGCTCAAGTAGTATATATAGGTAATAAGGTAAGAAAATATGAGTACTTAGTTCTAATAACTTATATTCCAATTGTTCTTTACACTATATATACATACCACTCTGCCTTTATACTGTGTTTCACCTTTTTGATTAACAGTGCTTCTTCCATGTCCAAGTAACTTTTATTTTTCCAACAGTTTGCTATTTCAACTGCTTCTAGGCAATCAAAAATCTTCTATTAGGTTACCTATCCAAACAACTATTTTCCCTTTATGCCTTCCTATGAAAATGCTGATTTTCTCCATATATGGAATGGCAATATAACCAGTGATGGTAAGCCTCTATTCTTGCCCCAGGGGATAAACCAGGTAATAAACAATGATTGATCTAAGCAAGAAGTTAATCCCATTCTACCTTTGTTGGTGGATTGGTTTAGAATAAGCTAGTAAGCACATAATACAGCAGTCATATCTACTATGAGGAGAAAGCTAAAAGTCTCACAGAAAAGCTCATCCAGAGCTCTGGCATTACTGTCTTAACCAACCCCCAAATCACCTTGCTCTAGATTAAATTATATAAGCAATAAACCTGTATTTAGTTAGGCAATCAATTACTTGTGGCCCAAAGCTTCCAAATACGAAACTCCAGTATTTTCTAGTGAAATCATCTTACCTAGCTTCTACGATAGAAGACTTCCTTCTCAGACCAAACAATATAAGAGTTTTATTAAAAATCATTTAGGTGTGTTAGTAAAAAAGGTGCTATTTGGTAGTCCACAGTATTCAGAACTTTAGGACATGACTGAAGAAACTAAAATAATAAATCTAAAATAATACAATGTTTATTCAGTATAGAAACAAATCTGAATTTGTATATCCATTCTAAAAATTTATAAAAATAACTTCAAAACCATAAGTTTCAAAAAGATGTTATTGTCAATTACTTAAACTTATTTTTGAAAAACACTGCCGTCACACTGACATGAAGCTTAAATATATTTTACCTATCAAGAGTCATTTTAGATGACAAAACATTGTTTTACTAAACAAATGTATATACATCACCTCTTAAAAGAAAAAATTTACTATCTTGAATTCAAAAAATGGCCACAGATTTAACAAATTGTAAAATTATGACAATGCTTTCAACTCCTGAGTCACATGAGAAAAGACCAAAAAGTAGCAATAAAAAAAACTTGTCAAAAACCCATGAATCACTGAAGACAACTGAAGAGTCACCCACCCTCAAGAAGGGCCAACTAGTCTGAAATACTAACTTAGCTTTTAGTTCGGCCCTAAGTTTCAGAGTAAGGGCACAAGCTAGGAGATGTTAAGAAATGATGGTTAAAAGTAAGTAAAGAAAGAACCTATAAGTAGAGGCTAAAAATTGTAAATGTTTGAGGGTCACACACTAGTGACACATACACAATAGTTCCCAAGGATAGGACACTAGAATAAACTGATGCTCAAGATGATTAATTTTTTTTAATTTAAAATAATTTGATTAATATAGCAAAAACTGGTGTTGGCTATAATGAGACTTTGTAATGATGGGGACATTAATCATGGTAAATAGCATTATAGTCCAAACTTTCTCACCAAGATAAGATTTGTTAGTACTATTAAGGAAACAAACAAACAAACCCAAAAGACTAGAGTTAAGCAGAACAGAAAGCCATTTTCCTCCTTTTCATAAGTCTATACCACTGTAATTATTTTCTGTACTAAGAAAAGTCGACCCTTCAGGACACCCCAATTAGGTAAGTAACCAGGCACTCCATTTAAAATAAATATGTACATCCTGAATTAGGTGCATGTATCCAATAAATATCAACTTAAAGGCAATTCACTTAGGAAGGTTTAAAAAAAATATAATGAGAGCATTTTGTTGGATCACTACTAATGTTAGAATGAACCATTTTAGCTAAAGATCAAATTTATTTGGATAATCCAACTTTTAAAAGATAAATACTTTTTATAGCTACTTAATGTTACCATACTAGTACTGTACGAAAGAATGAAGGAAAAGATGAGAGTTTGAGATGAACCTACAGGTTTTCATAGAATTACCAATCATTTTTGGTCATCTGTTTTGGTGTTGCTATAGCAACTTTATGATTCATGACCCCCTCACCCCAATAATTCAGAGGACTGAATTATGTATGAAAAATGTATTGCCAATGTGTTTCCAGTATCAGTAACACACATTAATGAATCTGATCTTACTATAGTAAATTATATATTTTTAGCCTCAATTTAGTAAATTAAAGAAACTACCGGCCACTAGAGAAACACAGAGGAAATTATCCATATACCCAATCCTTATAAAACTGTGTCTCATGTCAGTCTTGAATGTTAAATCACTATATCTTTTAGTTTCAAATATGTCTTTCTTTACTGAGACTCAAACAGATGAGTCTGTGTATAATGCTTACAATGCTTATTTACAGAAAACAAATTTGATCTCATAATTAAATTAGATACAATCTTAATAGAAATGTCTTTTATTTAAAGTTCACAAAAAAGAACCCTCATCTAAAATGCATACAAGTATTTAATAGTGAAGTGTCATGATGTCTACAACTTACTTTCAAATGGGATTCAGCAAAAGAAAAAGAAAAACTGTATGAGTACATATATATAATACATGTAAATAAATATAAGAGGGAAAAGCAAATGTGGCAAATTGCTATCAATGCTGGATCTACGTGGAAGATATATGGGTATTCAGAGTATTTTTTCAGCTTTTCTGTGGAAAAATTTCCAAAAGATGGGGAAACAAAGGACCCTCACAGGCTCCTAGTTCACTTGTGCTATAGTCTTTATCCTGAATATATGTCCAGTCCCTCTTTTGAGGCAATTACCTCAAGACCCTTCTGCTTTCATTTACAACAACTGTTACAGAACTGTGTTATGTCTTTTTAAGGAAATCCTATCTCCAGGAAAGAGTTTTTATAAGTAGATTTAAAGGCCAGTATCAGTGAATTAATTGTTTTACCTGAAAGTTAACATCTTCTTTCTTAAATATTAGTGCTCGAACTTCATCAGGATCTCCATTAAATATAGCTTGCACCAGCGATGGCTAAAATACAAGAGAGCAATAAAAATATTAATCACACTGCATGGATGATTCTAAAGATATTTCCACATAACTTTTAAACCTAAAATTTTTCTCCCCTTTAGCAACAATAATCAATTTGGTTTTTGACATTAACCAAAAGTTTCAGAAAGTCAAATCATATGAAAGTACAGGATTCCTCCCTGAATAAAAAAGGTCTAATTAAAAAAAAAAAAATCAGTTCAGTATGACCAAAATTAGGTAGATAGTAAACACAATCAAACTTTATTTTGTGTGGGTAGAAGTCTTTTGTTTATACATGTGTGTATATATATGATAAAAACAAAGTCTCTTCCAAATACAAGTGTGACATCTCAACATCTACTCGTGGAACATAACTTGTCAAACAAGCCATTCCTAGGCCACACTGAGGCCCATGAAGGTAGTAGGCCTTTTTGAAAAGTTCCTTTGGGGCATTAAGTAACTTGCATGGGTTAGCATTACACGTTATACAGATAGAAATCCAAGGAAGAAAATCTGGCAATTGATGAAAATCACTACTATCCAAAGACCAAAAAATACCATATACCTGAAAAACACGAAGAGGCAAACACGTGTATCTAAATATAACAATTTCTTAACAACACAGCCTCTCTGATAAGGTATCATATTATACTAGTCAAACAAGAAACCAATTGACAACAACATTAAAAGTAAGGTTAAGGATGAAGCCTGATTCTTTTTCATATAAAAGTGCTACGTGTAAATACATAAAATTCATTACAGAAAAGGCTGTGCCTCGGTATTTCTAGCCATAGCTTTCCTAAAACATACAGTTCCTCATTCTTGTTACAGCAGTTTTTAAAACCACAAAATGAAAACAGAAATGTGGTTGCCAGAACTACGATTCTCAATTTTTTTAAAACAAGTCTTTTTAAGAAAGTAAGAGATAGTAAGTAAAGTCTGAAATGGGTTATCTAAACATCTTAAAGTAGTAAAAATCAGAAATGTGTGCATTTTATACCCAAGTAATACTATATCATATTTACATAACTATATTGCTTTATTTGGGTTTTTAATGAAACTAGTGGAAACCAACTTATGTTTATTCTTAAAAGATAAAATTTACCCTACTAGTTCAGAAGACAGTAAACATAAACTCTCATATCTTACCAATACACTTCCAGAAGGTGGTGAATGTAGGGATTTATTTTCCTGTGGCAATTTAGAAATGAAGGCAGGAGATTCATCTTCTACCTCCTCCAAAACAACAATACACACTCGACTCATTCGCTCTTTTAAAATACTAAATCCCAAGCTATGTGATAAAAGTCACAGTTGGAAGAGCACAAGTAGTTTTTCCTCTTCTGTACAACACTTAGGATCATTCTCTGAACAGCGCAGCTGGTTTTTTAAAGTTAATAAGTACTATCAGAAAAACTGAAGTTTAAAATTATGACTACATAACATAACTTCCTAAAAATAACAAAATTCTATTATCTTCTGTTGGGTTACTATAATACTTAAAAGAAATTTCACATCAACATGTCAATTACTAAAACAGAGTCCAGTACAAGCTCATTTAAAAATATTTTTCCCCTACCAAAATAGTCATATTGCTCTCTGTCTCACAGAAATTTACTTGCATAAAAAGATCATTGTTTGGGGCAACAACACCACACAATACAAAATGAAATGAGAAACAATTACTGTGACAGAGATGATTACAGCTATACCCACTCTTGCCTGCAAGGTCATATAGTTACCAGTAGCTGACTTCCTTGTAATTAAAAAAAAAAAAAAAAATCTCACTATTTTGTTTCCACTTCTAACTTGTCTTCATTTCTTCAGCTTCTGGTTTAATACAGATATAATCCAGAAAAAAAAAAAATCTAGAGCTCAGCACAAATTCTTAAAATAAAGCTCAGAGGTTGACAATTCTTTCTGTGTTTGGGAAAGAAAAAAAAAAAAACAACACTCTGCATTAATAGCAAAGCTGCAGTACATTTACATGCGATGAGTCAGACCACAAGAGACAATAGGACTCTTGGTACTAGAATACAGCTTGATTAATCCAGATATCCCATGTAATAGAAGAAACACAGATAGCTTTATTCCCATCAATAGCATAAGCAAGGCAGAGCGTTCATTCTTTCTCCATCAGGCAGTTGTCTGTGGCTGCTCCAGCAAAAGGGCACAGCACCAGGCAGAAATAGTGTTAGCAGAGGATCCTAATGGAACAGGCAGGCTGCGAAGGAATTAGAAGGCATTTGAGCTCAAATTACTGCTTCAGGCTTTTCATTTTAAAAAAAGAGAAAAAAGCCCAGTAGTTTATCATTCCAGTGTTTCCTTTGATCTCCACATGAATACAGCTTCCATTAAATAGTCTTCATTCACAGGAAAAAACAGCAGACTGTGCATCTTCTTTGAGCCAACTACTTTATTCAATCATCTGCTCTGTGCCAGTAGTTTCCTTCCACTGTAAAAACCGCTACAGTTACCCTTTTCAGTAGATTTCAGATGCTTCCCCGTTCCTCAGATGATCTTGCAAAATGCCACTAATACCTCCAATGAGTAGGTCCTTAAAAAATATCTACGGAACCTCAGGATCAGCCCCACAGAAGCATTCCAACTGAGCAACAGTCTGAAGAGCAAAGACTGCAGAACCGCAGGATGAAATGCCTAGTAATGCTCACATGTTACACTTACCAGAGATCTGAGCTACTGCTCGGGATGTAACTTCCTCTAGCAGGAGAAAAAAATAGTGCATTTGGACAGCCTTCACAATTAGAAGGTTCATGCCAGTTCTGTGACTAATCCAGATCAAACTGAAAAATTCTATAACTGAAAAATGAGTGCGCTTTTAACATTTTCCACTAAAAGCCACAAGGAAATCTGGTGTACTGCCTCTGCTGACTAACACTGGTTTTAGCAAGTAAACAATTCCAAACAGCTTAACTGCTTTCGTATGTTACAATATAGCAAATGTTTAACCCTATAATGACAGCTGCAATTAAGAATGTCTGCAGTGAGCCCATAAAAGAGATGGAGAAATATTTATGAGAACATAAAAACACAAATCTAAGATTTTATTCTTTTTTACCAAGATCATTTTTTAATAAACCAGATATATTTATTTTCAAAAATGCAAAAAGTTCAAACAAAGAAATTTAAGATTTACTAACAATTTCTAGGTTGTTGAATTTAATCTATCAGGTCATATATTTAAAGGGAAAAAATAAAAATGTAAAAATGTAAAAATCCTAGCTTGAAACTTCTTTGGATCATCTGAATTTCACTGAAGAAATTAAATAATTCTACCTTCCCATCTAGAAATGGAATAAAGCCTTAAAATCTTTTAAACAGCTTCATGAAACTATTGTTTAAAGTCCTTAGCATTAATTTTCTTTCTATATGTCAAAAAAGGCACAGGGTAACATAAAGAAAGCAAAGATTCTCCTTTCTCTATAAAATTAATTTCCCCAAAGCTACAAATTAAGTGTCAAAGGCAACCAATTTATAGTTGGGTTTCCTCTTCTTTCTCTATTTACTAAACAAGTCAGATATTTCCCAACAAAAAATTACGAAGAAAATACCGTGGTTTCCCTTCAATCTTTGTTCTTTCTCCTATCAACTAGCATTTTTATTCATAAACATAATAGCTATTTTTGAACATTTATGATGCACTAAGTATTGTACATTCTAATTTAATACAATAACCTTATGTTTCCATATAATTAAGAGAAAAAAAAAGACACAAAAATTAAGTATTTTATCCAAAGGCATATAAATTAGTAAAGTTGTGCCTAATTCCAAACACACTGCTCTTTTGAATCTATTCTGCTTCCACTGAGTGTACACACTAGTACATGTACCCCCCCCCCCCCGACTCTCTCTCAAGATCTCTCTCAAGATCTTTGCAACCTAGACTGTAAGAGTAATCTTAAAAGGCTGGTAATCTATAATGGTTGTGAAAAGTTTAGGTAACAAAGGAATATACTATTTACTGCCATAATATTCCTAAACAAGTTATTTTTAAATGGGTATTTCAGGGCTACTGTTATCACATGTGTTTAAGCCAATTTATTTACCAAAACATAAAAAAAAAAACCCAGCATAATATAATGTAAGAATGCCAGAATTTAAGAACAAAAACCATTAAATGTCAATCTATGAAAAAACCTGTAATCCTAATATAATTTTATCAAGATACTAAAATATGCTAACAATTCATAGTTGTATTTTAAAACACATAAAATATAAAATGGTTTTATGCCAAATTAAAGATCTGCAAATATTTCGACATACAAAATGATGTTAACTATCTCCACATGGCTAAATCAAAAATCTCATCTTGATATGTGAAACATGTAAAAATGAAACCACTTTGGTTAACAGTATCCTATATTCTATCTTCAGGGTTTTTTTTTTTTCCCCCCACCCCAAACAAAAAGCTCTTTTTATATAGACAACTTTAACTTGTTTCAAAGTATCCAGTATATAAATTCACCTACTTAAACAGGTACATCCTGTCTCTTTTTCTATGTCAACTTCCATACTTAGGTCTTTCCTGGCCAGAGCACAAGCTCCTTGAAGGCAGGGACTATGTTTTTATATACACCGTGTGCACACAATTACTTCCCTTCCACTTTCTTCCACTTACAAACAATTTCATTGAAAAGAATCCCATTATGTCACAAGACTCTGGAAATTGCATGGCAAAATTATAAAAGACAACAGGGACCTGAAAAAAAAAAAAAGACAACAGGGAATTCATATGTATATATGAATATGTATATATTAAGGGGTGCCTGGGAGGTACAGTCAGTTAAGGTTCTGGCTCTTGGTTTCAGCTCAGGTCATGATCTCAGGGTCCTGAGATCAAGCCTCACCTCACAACAGCTCACACTCAGCCTGGAGTCTGCTTGAGAGTCTCTCTCCCTCTCCCTCTGCCCTTCCCACTCATGCGTTCTCTCTAAAATAAATAAAAAATTTTTAAAAAGAGTATATATATTATATATACA